TTCAAGTTGAAATTGAATAAAGTTTTAAAATAAGTCTTAGCTTCGTATCCATTCGGCTCTACTCTTATAATTTTAAACACGTATTAATTAGTTTAGGCCGCATTTGCGCGGTTCGCTTCACGTTACACTAAATCTTTATCCCAGTTAACACACGATCTAAAAAAAAAATAGGTATCATGACGATAGTCCTAGATCGAGCTAAATCAAACTGCTCTTTATTAAATTGTTTTTACAGCTATCTAGCATGTGTGATCGTAATCTAAGTCTATATTTTTTTAAAGCCTATGGGAGTTTTAAAAAAAAATGACCAGAAGTAGCAAAGTAGGTCTGTTTTTGAATTTGCTTGAAGAAAAGTGGGGGGGTGGGTGGAGTAAAGACACCGAAGATCTCATGTACGCGTGTTCATTTTATGATGTTTACTATAGGCCTGCTGAACTCACGGTGACCCCGCGACCGTGGTGGGATTTTTCACCCATGGGGTAGTAAAGGTAAGCCAGCAATCACGCTAGTGACGATATATGGAGATTTTATTTTAAAAAAATCACACGTCATGTTTTCAAGATGAAAAAAAAATGAACTGTTGACTCAATATAATGTGAATTGAGTGTAAAATGTATTTGTATTTATAGACTATCAAACTGTTACTACTATCATATTATTTTAAGCATAATTAAAATTAGAATTTGAAATAGAAAAATTTGTGGTCATTTGATTTATGCAAGTGTTCATTATTTCATAAAATGGTATGAATAACGTAGAGTAGAATTTGTAATGTGTATTTTCCTTTAACAATTCGATAAATAACTAGATCTAGTTTTATTATCAACCAGTTTTTTTTTTTGTTATTTTCCGGTGAGTAAATGACCTAAGTTGACACAATTACCTTGGCGGGATTTAAAACATCGTGTACACAAGTCCATGACGTCCTGTTATGCCGGCAGGGGACAAGAATGTGGTTTTGCCTTTAATTTTCTATTTTAGGATAATTTTAAAATTCGCTCTTTTCTCGTCAACTGAGTAATCTAGATATTTAAATGTGGTGTCAAATGTTCTCTTAAGGGGTAAGGAACTTAATGGTGTTTTTTAATTAACAGAATATTTTAATTTTAAAAATCCATAATTCAAGCTATTATAAAGGCATTTTCAAGTAGAGACCCTAGGCCTATATATTTATTGCAAACAATTTAAAAAAAAAAGAATCTATGGCTAAATGGAAATAAAAAAATAAAAAACACAAAAATAATATTGGGTCTAGATATGTGTAATATTAAAAAAAGCCTATTAGGTAGTTTATTTAAATGTAGATCCAGTTAGCCTAAAAATATTTGGAAACATTTTAGTAGTATTAATATTATAATATAATGGTACCTAAAAGCTTATTACTTGTTAGGCTAACAGGATTCTTTTTATGTCATTTATGACAGACTTGGCCAAACAAGGAGAAGATGAAAGAGGAAATCCCACTGCTCTTTCCTCAAAATTTCTCATCTCCATAAAACCATTTTGTGAACCTTTTTTCCCCAATAGACATAACTTAGGAAACTTCTCTTTGTAATAAACCACATGACTTTTTCAATTCTTCAAACATTGGTTGCTGTACATTTTAACACTGATTTTTATAACTATTTTAGTGTTCCTGTCCCCGTGCATTGCTGCAGGTGAGGAATAGAAGAAAGTCTGACAAAATATATAAGAAGGGTTTCATCAATACATTGTCATTACCAATCCTAAATTCTTAGACGTGTGACCTTCTTTTTCTAAAATTGAGTTATTTAAATGTAAAGAATGCCTGCTCTTGTATCATAGTTATCAGGGCACGGGTTTACCTACCACATGAAAACCTTGAGTGTATGTGAAACAGTGAGGTAGAACACATTTTGGTGGAACACCCCCCCCCCCCCCCGGTGTCCCTAGTGCTTACAGGATATCCCATTGCGATTTATTTAGTGAACGACTATTAACACCCCATTTTATCCATTGTCTATAGAAAATTTAAATAACTAGTTATGTCTGCAACACACTGTTCATCAGACATTAATGGCTGTGGCTTGCCTTTACTTTCCAGAAAGTCACCTATTTCCTATCTTAAAATACTCTTCTCAAGCTTACTGCTGTGTACAGGGTTCGTACGCAGTCTGGAAAGTCTGGAAAAAGTCTTGAATTTAGAAAAGTGAATTTAAGACTTTAAAAAGTCTGGAAAATCGCTAGTTTTGGGCTGGATTTTTTAAAAGTCTGGAATCTAGTTTTAGAAACAAAACTTCAAAGTCCATATTTTCCAACTTAAAAAATTGCTATTTTTAATTGTATTTACACCAATTTTTTTTCCCCGCGCATCTACACTGTTGTGACGTTTTTCATTAGTTCGCAGAAAAAAACAACGGATGTTCAGTTGCTACGACAAAAGGAGAGGGAAATTTCATATACAAGTATTTTATCAAAATCGTAGATCCTGATCAACTTTTGAGCGATTTCCGATAACCGGAAGTGGTACATTTTCTACTTTGAATTTTTCAAAAGCCTATAACTTGAGTACTATTTAGGATAGATAAATGAAATTTCACATGTAAGTAAAAGATCTAAATCTCTACCTTCTGTCAAATTTTGAGTGATTTCCGTTGACCGGAAGGTTGACCGGAAGTACTAATTTACGCTATTTCCGATTTCTCAATAAAACGCATGTAAATTTATAAAGTACTAATAATATTGCGCACTATTATGCACATTTTGTTTTGGCGTTCGCTTGGTGGGCAATTCTTTTTTCTATGAAATTCTATTTTTAAAAGTTTAAGTAATTAAAAATCATGTCTATATTCCAAGTTATATAAGAATACTAGCCGTCCAGCCAGGCCCTGCACTGGCATTTCTGAAAAACGTATCTGTAAAGGACCATAACTTGTGTGTTTAGTAATCAGCATTTACCGGGCATTGCCCACCCTAACAAAAACCAACCAAAACACACAAAAAACGCAAACATAACACTAACACAAAACAAACAAAAACGAAAACACAAAAACAAACGCAAAGACAAACCCAACCACAAACACAAAGAAAACACAAACTGCGTGCGCATTATGACAAAAATGAAAAACGTGGGGCGCCATGATTTTCTTACAGTTTTTAATACTGTTGACTCTCTACAAGCTCCCTAATAAAACTCAATAGTATTATCTAATCAATAGTAATATAACTTTTACATCTTATATTAACAATGACGGATAAAAAACTTTTACTTCGGCGCCCCACGTTTTTCATTTTTTGTCATAATGCGCACGCAGTTTGCGATCGCTTATAGTAGAGTGATCGCTTGCATTATTGTGATGTATAGCATTTATTTTCTACTTTTTAGTTCAATCAGAAAACATGGGTTTTTAAAAACTTTTTTAATGATAATTATTAATAAATTAAAAAAAAATGAATTAGGCACCCAATTAAGTTTATTAAGTCAAATTTAATGTCAGAAGTGCCCAAAATTTTGCTTGAGCATTTCGATCTATGATAATAAGCATAGTCGACTGACGACAGGAAGCAAGTTAAATAAAAGCTTGTAACAATGTCTGCATTTGTTTTTTAGAGGTCATAGGGGTCGTTTTCGCACCCATTTTGAAAACAAGTTAAAAATCCATGCTACTTGGAGAGAAAAAATGGCTTTTTCTGCCCTTTTAGCTTCATAACTGCTGTGTTTATGTGTTGTGTGATGTCAGCAGCCAATTGAGGCACAGAGAAATCTCTTGTTTGATTGGTTGATGGCTGTCATTGTGAAAACTTTATGGGTTTATCTAAATTTTACCATGACTTTTAACAAAAACAACTAGACTACTCGTTATTCTTGAAAAACTGTTTCATTGTCATCCATAAATGACATCATGTTTATTTGACGATTTTTATCTTTCCTACTGTCACACAAAAAGTCAGACCCTACATTCAAAAAGACGTCACACCTCAGGCAACATGCTATTGTCTTTTAAAAACACCTATTTCGGCTTTTGTATCTAACATTAATTTAGGTTTGGCTTATAGGTAGATCTAGTCAAATTAGAAGAACTGCCCAGCATATCCTAATTAAAATTGATAATAGTGTTGGAATATAGAACTAATAAAAATCGCAAAAGTGCATATTGTTTAAGATATAGCAGACAGAAAATGTAGCTTTATAATGTAAACTTTTAAATGAGCAACATGAGATCTTTCATGGAAAGCGCCATGCTTGTTGTAAAAAAGTAAATGAATCATGTGACGGCACCATAAATAAAGTAATTGTTTTGAACTTTTATAAGTAAAGTAGTGTTTCTACCAATGTATATATCAAAAAATTAATTAACGTCTTTAAATAAATTTGTGATTATCAATTGGGTAAAAAAGAACATTATTCTCTACATAAATACATATTTTACAGCTCTACACATATTACAGATTCTCTCTTGTAACCAAACAGACAAACAAAAAAACAAATATACACAGTTTGAGCTTGTTTTGTTATTTACTATTTTGCACTTTTTTTTTTGTATGTTTTTTATATGATTCAACCGTAAATGTCAAGTTTTTTTACTTCATTTCTAGCCCCTACCTCTATCATAACAAGTCATAGGTTGTCTAAAATTGACTGATTCGACTAGACATTTAATATAGATATCTAGCCATAATGTGATTACTGATCAGTTTGAATTTTAAAAATCTGACTACAATAAAAAAAAAGTTGTATATTTTCTGTCTTTACAAATAGTTTTTTAGACAACCCTGCCTTTCAAAAAACTAATTAAAAATGATACATTTTTTTTGGTGTTTTAATATTAGTACCTGTTCAAGAAAATGTAGTTTTTTACTTGTCTGTGATAAATATATTTTTAATACTAAAACCCCTAGAATTTAATAAAAACCATGCAAAAAATTGTGTTGAACAATTGCGCAATTAGTCTGATTTTCTTCATCAGCAGGTTTGATTTAGGTACTTTGAGGCAATTAACAATATCGCTGCCATTTTAAAAAAAAATTCTTTTTTATAGGGAAAGTGAAGGCGTTCCCAGTACTGCAATTAGAGAAATATCTTTGTTGAAAGAACTAGAACATCCTAATGTTGTTCGGTAAGTCAAAGCAAAATAATTTTTTTTTCAATTTGTTGTTGGAGAAAAAAGCAAAAAGTAAAGAATTCTGTTTAGACCTAGCGATCTATTGGGCAGATGAAGTAGAGTTCATGTTTCTTGATCTCAGCACATGAAGGGAAAGTGGTAAGCACTAACATGAGTGAGATACCCATCAGAACTGGGTGGACACAGGGACATTGATCTGACTTTGACTTGATTTCAACATGTGCCCTGAGCGGTAGAGCGCTAGGCTGCTAACCTCAAAGTCTCGAGTTGTCATTTATGCCAAACATTAGTTGTATGACTAACAGTTTTACTTTAGAGATTAATTTATTGAAGGAGATTTGATGATGATACAGGTATCTGTTTTTTATAACTTAAGAGTTTACCTACCTCAACCAATGTTAATACACAAAATGAGAGGAAGAAATAATTTTGACCTGCTACTAGTTTTAAATATTTATAGTCTGAACATTTGCACAAAGTCCCAATTAAACAGAAGTCCCGTGTTTGGACAATATGTGGATGGGCATAAAACTGACCAAGCATTTCCTTTTTATGCAGATGACACAGAATCAAATGAACTTCAGTTAAATTGTAGATTTCAAACAAATTCTGCATTTTATGGAATAGTCTATGCAGTCACTGATGATATATTGTTGAGCTCAACTAAGTTTACAATCACCACTATAAATAAAATTGCATAGAAGACCATTTACACCACAAATGAAATAGTTGATGAAATCTATGTTCAAAGCCACTGAACCCTGCAATCCCTAGAGAATCTGCCAATCACTAGTATATGTGCACTATTAGTGAAAAGGAATAACAGTTGCTTAAAATAATCTATTTGTTGGGTCAATTTTTAACTTGTGTTAAGTAAAATATGGAATTGATATCATGATCACACAAGAAAGAACTTTTGGTCATTTTTAAAAGTATCAATAGATTTTAATTTATTATATATATAATTTTAAAAAAATTTATATATGTTAAATTATTGATCAGTGGAAGTTGTATTGCTTATTCAGAATTTTCAAGACCTGAATACCCTTTTAATACTTATTATTAATAGCTATTAGTAAGTTGGTAAGTTGGGGTGCCACATTTCCAGGATATTTCAAATTCAGGAATCAAAGTTTTCACTTCCTGGATTAGCAAAATTTTATATTTAAAATTTCTGGGTTTGCAAACTTGAGCTTTTACTAATCTAGAAATCATTATAACAACTCATTTATACCTCTTATGGCTCTTCAAGGTATTTCTGCATGCATAGATGGTACAATATCCACTTCTGTGCAAAAGCATTGGAGTGATGTCATTTATTTTGCTGCTTCTTTTGTTTTCTTAGCTGACTGAGGCTGATACTTGATTAATTAAAATAGGGAATTAGATTGGTGTAAAAGCAGGAAATACTTGCAAGAATTACCCCACAACAACAGCATACAGTAAATTAAAAAGCATTTGGCATGAATAAAGTTACAACTCATGCGGTCACTGGTCATGTCTGTCTTGCTGTATGAATGTGAGGCATGGACCCTTAGCACAGTCCTCCAGAGAAGAATCCAGGCCCTGGAAATGAGATGTTTATGCAGGCTATTTAACTTGCATACAGAAATGAAGTTTGTAAAAAGATTGCTAATACAGTGGGTCCTTCTGAGAGTCTGCAGAGCAAATTCAGAACAAGAAAATTGAGATGGTATGGGCATATCACACGAATCAACAGACTATCCAAAACAATGCAGGATTCTGTGTCAGGAGGTTGAAGGTAAAGGTTATATAGGACACTAAAATTGCACTGGGCAGTCCATTGCAGAAATATTCAGAGCAGAGGAGGACCAAGACAGATGACAAAAAATTATGAGAAAATCAACCATGTCACCCTAATATTATCTTGAATATCTTAGTTTTTGTTTAATGGTTAACCACAAACTTTTCAGTCAGTGTCAGTCATTTTAAGGTTAAGTAATGCTTTACAGTAACTCTAATTTTGCTTAATTTGAATATTGAGACCTGAGAAATCAGATAGGTAGAACATAACTTTACAAAAAAACATGGCAGCTGTTGAAGACAATTTATTTACAGGTTACATTTTGTTAATTGTTTTTATACGTAAAGCGTTCACTTTTGCAAAAAAACATATTTTTCAGCTTGCTTGATGTAATTCATTGTGATATGAAGCTTTACCTTGTCTTTGAATATCTGACCAAAGATCTTAAAAAATATATGGACTCATTTCCCAGCACTGAACACATCAACCCAGCATTAGTAAAGGTATACTAAATCAATATTGATCTTTTGCAATGAATAATCATGTAAATATGGTTTTACCAGGGCTGACTTACTGAATGATTTTGCCCATTATTTTATTTTTTTGATACCCAAGTTACGTTACTATGATGAGGCCCAATTGGTTATGCGTTATTAAAATAAATGCAGTTTTAAAAATTTCAGTTTTTTTTTTTGTCAGACTTACTAAAGATAGGATGTATTTGATGTTTTTAGTTTAGTATTCAATAACTAAATAAAAACCGCAAAAACAATTGGTATTTTTCATTTTCTCATTGAAAATGTAAATAAACATGGCTTAACTAAGTAATTTGATTTTAAAAAGTATAATTTTGTTCAAAATATTTGCTCACTATGTTTTAAATATAGATAACTATTATGTGTGGGTTTCAGACCAAAATCAAGTAAATTAAAAAAAATATTTCCAAGGTTTCTGATTTTGCAAGTTTTATAACATTGATTCAAAAGGAGATAATTGCATTAAAAAATACATTTTTTAAATTCAAAAGTAGATAATTTGCATAAAAAACACATTAGTTCAAATTCTTCATCAAAACAAGTTTTTGCTCTTGAATACTTTGTCCATTTTTATATTAAGGAAATTATAACTTTAATGAGAACATTTTTTTACTACTTTTTTTTTATTAACAATACAATGCCTACCATATTTTCAGTATTTGTTCATGAGGGCTTTGTGATAGCTTTCATAGAAAAAAGTTTAATGGCAAGATCATCCAAATATTTAAACCACACACTAACATCAGTGCAATTTTTCGGACATTTTAGAATTCTGACCAGTAGCTCTATTAAAAAGTTATCATAACAAAAGCTTTAATATATACTGAAGTATAAGCAGCGTAAATTTGATTGGCATAAGTTAAATAAGTGGTGAATTTAAAGTCTCAGAAAATTTGGGGGGGGGGGGGGGGGGGGGGGGGGGGCTCCTGGATTTCCATGACTATCAAAACTAAAGCTATTTTCAAACATCTTATTGGTTTTTAATACTTTCATAAGCCAAACATAATATTAGTATTTAAAAGACTTTCAATCTTAATTGTAAAGAAAGAAAAAAATTGTGTGTATCCCCTTAAAATATTAGATTTCTAAATTGACAAAAAAATTAATATTTTATCCATATAGAGTTTATATATTGAGGGCATCTCATCAATCAATGGTATCCATAACACTGTTTACACTTATGACCTGTATATTAATTACACATCCACACTATTCATGTTTGGAACACAAAGCCTACCAAAAGTTAATTTTATCTGGAAACATTTTTGACAAAGAACACAAGCATGACCTTTGACCTGGAGCTTCTGCAATGCAGGCCTAGATAAATAATTGAAAGAGTAATATATTAAAAAAATGCTGATAGGGGAGCATGCAACTTTAATATGTTACAGTTACAGTAAAATGGTGTAGCCATGGTGCCTTTAATTCAACAATGAATTGTATTTTAAAAATTCATAAAAAATGTTTTAATGACAAGCTTTTATGTAATAATGCCCTAAAAAGGAGAAAATAAATTATACACTACTATTTAAATAACTGTAAAGAAAAGCATGGTTCACTTTAGTATCTTTTGAATACCTTTACTAATATTTAGGAAGAGACCCGCACCATTCTTTATAGTTACTTAAATAGTCTATAATTTATTTTCTCCTTGTTGTTAGTGCATTATTACATTAAAGCTTGTTATTAAAACGTTTTTTATGAATTTTTTTTTAGTACTTAACATGTTTTATTTACACTAGAGTTACATGACTAAAAACCATTGCGCACCCATTGAACGTGATGACTTGTATGTAATAGTGTGGAGTACTTGGATAAGACTGCCTACTAATTTGATCAAAATTTTAATTCATAAAAAATTAATTAGGCATCCAATTAAGTCAAATTTAATGTCTTAATGCATTGTCTTCATGTCTTGACCCACGTACCAATTACGAACCGTATCTGTGAGTTAGAAGTGCCTGCAAATTAATTAGGCATCCAATTAAGTCAAATTGAATGTCATGATGCATTGTCTTCATGTCTTGCCCCACGCACCAATTACGAACCGTATCTGTGAGTTAGAAGTGCCTGCAATTTCGCTCGGGTGTTTCTATCTAGATAGACCAACAACAGACAGAGGAAGTGAGTTAAATAAAAGCTTGTAAAAATAGAGAATATGCAAGATTATAGACATTTCATTGGAGTGTCATTGGATTATAGACATTACATTGGAGTGTGTTAGCATGACAATACTCACCTACTTTTACCCCACCCCATGCCAGCCATTTCCCCTGCTTGCTGTCACGTAATGACATTTAGTAACTGAGAAGCATTTAGTTTTCTCCTGTACCCTCTCAGGATTTCCAAATTTAAAAATTAAACAAATATTACATAAAGAAGGAATAGACATTTAAAATAATAAAAAACAGTCACTCTTGAGTGGAGAGGAAAGTTTTGCTACAATGCTTTTTGTTTTTTAAGTCATAGTGGTTTAGAACATATACTGCTTCGTTGCTTGCTTAAATTCTTCAGGAACCGCGTGTTTTGTTATAATGTATAAATGTCTCCTGAAACGCCTGATTTATATGAAAATTTGCATATGCAATGTTCATTAAATCATATTTAGATCCAGTTTGAACCCTCGGGCAGACGAGGCTCGTTAGCTGGGGATAGCCACTCTTCTAGGAGAGACAACTCCAAAATGAAACAACTGCTGCCTTGTAGTTTGTTCTTGGTTGGACAAAAGCTATGGAAGCAAATCCAAAAAGAAAAGCAGGCTGAAATCGGAGTCAATGGCGCATAACCAGTTGACACATATCTTTAATTTTGATGGAGGCTTGGTCGAGTCAGCAAAAAGCTCATGGTTGATAATTCTCGATCCCTTCCAACACTAAAAATTAAGAACGAAAAAGAAAGAAGATCCAGTTATAATTAGACACTATTGATGAGTCTATTAAGAATAGGAGTAGATCTAGATTTTTTAGAGTACGGTCTATGACACTTGATTTTTTTAAAATCACTATTTAGTAAGTGTGATTCTAAGCATCTTCTAGTGAGTCCATAGGGGACACAAAGTTGGATACAGACTATGTTGATACACTAAACAAAATATGAGGCAAGGAAAATTGAAGAATAACCTGCAACAATATATTTTTATAATTATTATTTCTTTAATAAAAAATTTTCATTAAAATATGTTTGGGATTTAATGAAAGAAATTATAAATAATTATAAAAAGTACTTTTTTTTTTGGTAGAGAAGTTATATAAATTTCAAAAGTATTTACTCAAAACTTGAATTTAAGTGACATTTTGCGATCAGCAGAGTGTTTAGAAATGCACACTTATTTGAACATTCAGAATTTTTTTGCTCAGGGAGTGATAACAAAATTTTTGTTCAGAATACAAAAAGGGGTGTGGTTGTGTGCTCAGTTACTCAGAATATACCCATAACATATATAGTATAGGCTACATGTTGTTAGTATAAATATGCTGCAAGACTTACGAAGAAGAGTATAAAAGAATGTACTTATATGTTGAAATGTGTATATTATTGATATATTTAATAAATCTTAAGTTTGTATTGCCCTAGAGCTTGTTTGTCTTTGTTTATACTGAACTTTGTTAGTTTGTTGCCATTTGGCATACACTGAAATTTAACCATTATACACACCATGTTGCCGCATGGCAACGTACCTACAAAAGCAATATCCCATAATTTTTTTACAAATTATCCATATAGAAGTAATCTATGATCTACCCATAACAAACACAGCATAGAAAATTTTTTGCATGTTCAAATAAAAAAGCGTGCAATATAGGGTTAAAATACATATTTCCTTTTTATATTTCAGAGTTATATGTTTCAACTTTTAAATGGAATATCTTATTGCCACTCTCATAGAGTACTTCACAGAGACCTCAAGCCTCAAAATTTACTAATTGACATGGAAGGCAATATTAAATTAGCAGATTTTGGACTAGCTCGTGCCTTTGGTGTTCCGGTCAGAACTTACACACATGAGGTAATATCAAAGATTCATTAAGCTTTATTTGATCTGTTGTAAAGTTTTTATTGAATTCTGATTGTTGGCCAAGTTAGTACATTTGTTACATTTCTCTAAAAATTGCCATTTTCCCTATGTTTTGATTTATACATGTTTTGATGATAATACTACTTAGCTATTTATCCTATGTATGATTTGGAAGTCAATCAGGATATAGAGTCCTTGCATATGACGTCACGGATCCTTCAGTATGTAAACATCCGCCATCATGGTGTACAGGTCCGCATTCAAAATGGCGATCGCTGCTGTGAAAGGTTGTGATGGCAGATCTAAAGGGTTATATTAAACCAAGGTGATAGAGCTTGGCAGTCAACACAATGTAGATTCTGTCAATTTTTAGCCAATATTTATCGAAGTGCTGGGAGTGAAGCAGCGGCCAATAAAATGCGAATATGTTCTCGACACTGTTTTTGTTAGCGACAGTAAACACTTCAGTTTAATTAATAAAAGACAACTGTTAATTAAACAAATATGCTTGGCCTTCATAAATGTTTATAGCAATAGACCAGGGGTCTCCAAACTACGGCCCGCATTAAGCCCGCTAGGTCCTATCATCCGGCCCGCGGAGATCTTTTTGTCAATTGAAAAAAATGTTTGTTGGAGGTGGCTTAGGAACTTTGTCCATAAAATTCACAGTTCAATTTGAAAATATAGCTTTGCGTGCTAATACCATTGGCGACGTTGGTGAAAACATTGTGTTTTAAATAGCCAAAAATGCAGGCAAGTTTTGCTAGTTTTCAATCGCAAAGGATGAGTTGCTGGACAGCTGTTCCGCCTCTCAACTGCTTGTGTTTATTTGAGGTGTGGATGAAGACATGAAAATAATACAAGGGCTGGCTTCCCTACATAATATGTATGACACTGTACCGGAGAGGATATATTCAATTAGTTAAAAAAAAACATTTGCTGATTATAATTTGGACTGGACTAACCTCAAATGCCTGATTGTTGATGGAGGTCAACAGTGCAAGGTCTTCATGGCTGAAGCAACAGCTGTTCCCCACGTCATTTGCAAGCGCGATCATCAAAGACCTCCAGCTGCAGTTTCAGCAGCTGTTTTCTGAATTGAATTCAAAGGCAGAAGTGAGACTGTTTTGTTTCAAAACCTATTTGAAACAGTTGTGGCCATTTGCCCAAATGAACTGCAGCTGGAAGTCATTGTGTTACAAGCAAATGACCTCATTAGGGACAAGTTCAAAAAAGATAGACTTTTCTAATATCAAAACTTTTGCATCAAGGTACCTTTCAATTTTTGGATCATACCTGTGTGAACAAACATTATCAAGAATGAAATTGTGAAGATCAAATTGAGAACAAACTTGGACCTTGAGTGTGTTATCGGCTCCCGAACTGCTATTTTATAGTTAATGCGGCCCTTGGGCTAAAAAGTTTGGAGACCAAAGTCAAAAGTAATAATAAAATTTAAGTGGAATATTTATTTAATATTTAGATCTAGAATCTAGCTCTAAATCTAATCATGTTGTAAACTAAATTAAATCTAGATTTAGAGTGACTGGCTACGATAGGTAGGCATAGAATCTAGAATCTACATATTTAATTAAATTTAATTACAAAATCAATTAAATAAAATTACAGAATTCAGATCTATATATTCGATTCATAATACACCAATAATTAATAAATTAAAAAATAGGCCTAATTATAAAAAAATGTAATTGTCTCTAAGATCTAGAATCTAGCTCTAGATTCTAATCATTTTATTTAGCAAACGAAATTATCTTAAATTGAAAGAGATTATATGACTAGACTTAGATCTTTAAATTTTAAAAGTAGTTGATATTTTTGTTGTAGAAGGCTTTAATAAATTACTTAGGCCTAAATACTGTGTCTAATTACAATACTATGTATCAGATACTGGACTGAGTTTGGTTACATTTAGAAGCAGATCAGTGGTACTGATTTCCCCTTTGTTTCCCTGCTGGTCGGATGCTACCTACAAAGAGATCATGTTTTATGATGGGTTAGAAACAAGTGGGAGCTGGGTGTGAAGTATCATGGAGGTGAGAAGTTTTGAGGGGAAGGCAGTGTACTGCTCCTCTTTGGTCTCCACCCTTCTGGACCATGATGGTCCTTAATTACATAACCTACCATCTCTGCTTGGTTGAGAACAGTAATCCATGTTACCTACAAAGAGATGAAGTTTTATGGTGGGCTAGAAACAGGTGGGGGCTGGGTATCATGTAGGTAAGACATTTTAATATTGGTATATTGTGTTGGATCACTTCCTTGCTGGACCTTGAGGGTCATACATTACATAACATGCTACACAGATTGTCTGAGAACTCAGATCTATTACTACTAGTTCTTGTACTGAACTAGAGACTCTAGAATCTATACTAACTAGATGTAAATAGATGTAAATTATCTATATTATATTACTGCATTTTATGTCAACACGAATATAAGGATCTTCAATTCCTTAAAGTTTTTTTTACATATTGTTCCTGTTCTGCGGGTGCGAGGCTCTTAACTTATGATGAAGACATTTTGAGACACGCCCAGCGCTGCGCAATAGCTGATTGTTTGGCGGTGTTCACCACCGTGGCGGTGGACGTAGGTATCACGTGATTTAGGTAATGTGTTTGCAAGGACTCTATACAGGGGATATCTTGTATTTCCGAATTCAACAATCTTATGTTTTCACTCTCTAGATTCACAAGAATTGAGTTTTAAAATTTCCTGGTTTTTCGTAATTAAAACAAATCAAGACTATTTTAAAGTTAAAAATGTTGGCATTTTAGAAACCAATTTTATCATCAGCTTATGGCCCTTTTCACCATTATTATGCGCTGAAAACTGGTAAACAGAGAATCAGATTGGTGAACATTTTTATTTTCGACTGATGTAGTCTAAATCCAATTCACAGTAACTTTTAGCAGGTGGCCATTTTGAAGGACTAAACTAACATTTATAAAAGAGTATGATCATTACTGGACTTGACAACCCAATGTCGTGCTGACATTTGGTCACTATGATCTGAGATTTTTGTCTGAACTTTTTGTGACCTTGCAGTGTTTAGCAGACATGCGTACCATCTCATCTAAAGCAGGTCTAATGTTAAAAAAAAAAATCAAATTGAAAAAGAAAGTGATGCCTGACCTATTTAAATGAGATTGTATTAAGTTTATCTTAACTCAATGCAACAAGTGGTTCGGTTTGTTGAGGCTATGCTGAGGGCTTTTTCTGGCACATATATGATATTCAAAGGGTCAATTGTAAATATTGTCCAAAATTTTCATTTTGGGATTTGAAATAACAAATTATAATGGAGTAAAATAAAATACGATCAACCCACTATGTTCACAAATAAAAATTTAAAAACCTACTAGATCTTGATCTAGAACTATTCTATTTAATAATAATTATAACAATATGAGGAGGAGCCTTAGCATTTGTTTGTTGTCCATATGGCTCATATCTACTGTGCATATATTATAAAGCCTAATGTCTCTTTTCTTAATTTAAGTATTTCTGCTTAGGAATCATCCATTTATGATGTCTACATGGATGGTGGGAGGGGGATGGTCCAAAAGAATTGCCTTTACTTTCCAGAAAGTAACCTATTTCCTTTCTTAAATACTCTGCTCAGATTTTTCTTACAACTTAGCCATCTTACTGCTGTATAATATGGTATCTCTTCCCATTATGTCTCTGCATCTTTCAACATGTCTGTAAGCTGAACATGTCTCTCAACTGTCTATGGTTGAGCCCATGTGAAATTCACCATCTTCATTACAGTATTCAATACACTGCTTGTGTCCACATACTTAGCACACAAAGCTTGCTGGTGAATAATACAGTGCAAAAGCATTGGTTGTAGGATACTTTTTTTCATTCGCTTGTCCAACCAAGTCTTTCTTTATGCCACTCATTTACTTTCCTCCATCAACAGTCAGGCAACTGATGTTAGTCCAGTCCAAGTTATAATCAGCAAATGTTTTTTTAACTCATTGTATATGTTATCTCCGGTAACAGTCCCACACATGTTATGTAGGGAAGCCAGTTCTTGTGTTATGTTCTTGTCTTCATCCACACCTCTAATGAACATAAGCAGTTGAGAGGTGGAACAGCTGTCCACCTACTTATCAATTCAGTTGAAAAATGGCGAAACTTGTTTTCATTTTTCACTTTTTGAGTCACAATGTTTTCATCAATGTCTTCAACATGGAGGGTAATGGAATTTGCACCCAAAGCTACTTTTTAAAATTGTTTTGAATTTTCTAATCGAAGTTACTCAACTAACTCCAACTAATTTTATTTTTCCGTGGACAAAAAGAGCTCCGCGGGCCGTAGTTTAGAGACCCCTGTTCTAAAGCATAAATAAAGATGTGGCTTGGATTGACCTTGGCATATGGAGAGAGAGCGATGCTGAAAATAATGTGATCATGCTGCTGAGAACAATATAACGAATTAAGCTTTGAAATAGCATTGTAAAATAGAACATAAAAAATAAGACAACAGGTAGTGAGGTGGCTGACCAACATCTTGGATGCCCCCAAAGTGACCATGACAATAATAACACTGAGCATAGACCTACACCTCGTAATAAATGCAGTAAGATTGAATACTGACAAAAATACCCATTGCAGTGCTATTGAATACCCATATCAGTGGCATTATACTATTTATACTGGCATTTAGTACCAATAGCAGTGTTAGCGAGTATCCACAGCAGTGATACTGAGTACCCATTGCTAAGACTGAGTACCCACAGCAATCAATTACCAACTGCACCAGCGCTGAGTACCCATAGAAGTGACACAAGCAACCGACTGCAGTAACACTGAGTACCCACAACTTCAATACTCAGAACACATGGCTTCAACACTCAGTAGCAACTGTTTCAGCACTGAGTACCCATATCAGTGACAATATGTAGCTACAGCACAGTCATTGGTAATCCAAAGCAGTATTATTTGAGTACAACAGCAGTAGCACATAGTACCAAAATCAGAAACATTGGGTACCATCAACAATAGCAGTGGATACCCACAACAGTGACAATAAGTACCCACAGCAGCTGCATTGAGCATGGATGAATATACAAGGGCTGAACACTGTCATTTAGGACTGTATTTATTCTCGTGCTTTGTGTGTATAACAAATATAGGTAAAGTGAGAACTAGGCGTCTTTATCAGTTGACCTTGAATAGGGGTTCACTAAAATGGTATGACCAGGTACAACTAAGGCTATGCACATTTATGGAAGTCCTTTATAATGTAGTGTTACTGTAGTGTAGTAGAACCACGACAGCAAGGCTTCAAAGTACCCATTCATAAGAGTTAGACGGTGAGCAGATGCAGCTGAGTTATGTAACTCTATGCCTGAGCTACTAAACTTAAGTTTTCATGAATTTTACAAGCGAGTCTACATCTCCTTGCACATCCATATGCTTAGTTTGTGATATTCTATTGCTTGAGCATGGATATTTAGAGAAACACGTGTCAGTAAAAAAAGTAAAATTACCCGGACTAATTTTTTTTTAATTACTCATTGGTCTATTAGTGCCTGATGTCGCAAATTTGCGACAAACCGTAATTAGCATAAAAAATAAGTCCAAATTTAAAAACAACAATATACCTCAAATTCAATGTAAGTATGATGAGAGAAAGATGGATGTGAACTGGAATTGCTATTTTTTTATATTTGATAAATTGAACATACTGCTGAGGTGTTAAAAAAGTAGTTTTGTAAATCAAAAGATAATACTGCAAAAAAATTAATATGGTTTAATTAAAAAAATGCTTTTATATTTTGTAGGTTGTGACCTTATGGTATAGAGCTCCAGAAATATTGCTTGGGAGCAGATTTTATTCCACACCAGTAGATGTGTGGAGCTTAGGCTGCATCTTTGTTGAAATGGCAAGTAAACTTTAGGACATACTCTCGATTAAAGGGCGTCAATGGAGTACATACTGATAGAACAATATAAAGCTTTTTACAAATACTAATACTGCATTTAAACTAGTTTTGACCTATGGTACTTATATCTGTGCTATACATAATATGGGTATATGGAACATCTGTCGCTGGGCACAGAACCACACCCCTTTTTGTGTTCTAGACTAACGTTTTGTAGGGTGAAGTGAAAACATTCATTATTTTCTTAATAATGAGATGAGTGTGCATGACTGGAAGCGTAGTATGCACATCCCGTCACTCAGTTGATTGCTTTAATGTAACTTAAATATACTAATCTTGAGTTGTTGAGCACACACTTTTGAATCTATTATTACTTCTCTTGAAATTGAAACTTTCAAAAATAATTTTTTCATAAAAATATAATTTAACCACTAATTGACAATTTCCTCCCCCCCCCCCCCCCCCCCCCCCCGCCCCCGCCCCTAATAATGGGGGCTGTTCCTGAAAGATATACAACAAGCAACGAAGCAGCATACTTTCTAAACTATTATCAAAACCATTATAACTTAAAAAACCGCAATTATTAAGAATTGAATTGTTTTAACAAAACATTTCTCTACACCCATTAAATGGTGTTTTTATTTTTACTTTCTCGTATATACTAAGTATAGAGAAAGTCTTGTAATCATGCAAAAAAAAAATTTGAGATTTTTGCAAATCTTCACATTTTAGGGTGTGAGTCGGAAAAACAGTTTTGCAATCTTGTCTATATGTTTGTGTGTGTGTGTGTGTAAATACAATAACTTGAGTACTGTTAGAGCTAGGTTGATGAAATTTCAAGTATAAGTATTTTATCAAAATCGTAGATCCTGATCAACTTTTGAGCAATTTCTGATAACTGGAAGTGGAACTCTTTCTACTTTGAATTTTTCAAAAGCCTATATCTTTCAGATATATAGATGCTCGATCTCCATTTCTGACTGGATTGTCTAATAATATATGCTTATTGCATCATTTGCAAAGTGACGAAACTCTACGGTCTCACACCAAAATCGACTTATTTTTATAAACCGTATATAGAGAAAAATCCCACCCTCCCGTGGCGCCGCCCTTGCGAAATTAAAAAGGATTTTTTACAGAACCCTTCCCTGGAGTTTTATAATGAACTCCCCAAAGTTTCATGCCTATCGGATAAATGGTGTCACTGCAATTCACTTTTTTTATTTTTATATACCGTAAATAGAGAAAAATCGGACCCTCCCGTGGCGCTGACTTTGCGAAATTAAAAATTATTTTTTTACAGAACCCTTCCCTAGAGTGGTATAATGAACTCCCCAGTCTCATGGCTATCGGATGAACAATGCCAAACCAAAATCAACTTTTATTTTTATATACCGTATATTGAAAAAAACAAATCGCGCCGTGTCGGGGCACCACCCCTATGAATTTGAAATATTTTTTCTTTTTGCAGAAACCTCCCAGGAATATTCTCAACAACTTCCTAAAGTTTCATGGCGACCGTGTGAACGGTGTCACGGCAATTCACTTTTATATAGAGAAAAATCGCATCCTGTGGCGCCGCCCTTGCGAAATTAAAAATGATTTTTGTACAGAACCCTTCCCTAGAGTTTTCTAATCAACTTCCCAAAGTTTCATGCCTATCGGATGAACAGTGTGAATTCAAAATAGACTTTTATTTTTATATACCGTATATAGAGAAAAACAAATCGCGCCCTGCCGGGGCGCCACCCCTGGGAATTTGAAAAAAAAATTTCCGCAGAAACCTCCCCAGGAATATTCTCAACAACTTCCCAAAGTTTCACGGCGATGTGATAAGAGGTGTGGTAATGCATAAAAGACACACAGACAGACACACATACATTGCTTTTTATATATATAGAAGATAGAAGATATATATTTATTTATTTATTTATTTATTTATTTATTTACATAAAGTAAAGTGTGTGTGTGTGTGTGTGTCTGTTTGTCTTTTATTCATTACCAAACCATTCATCCGATCTCCATGAAACTTTAAAAAGTTGTTGAGAATACTACTGGGGAGGTATCTGCGAAAATAAAATGTCAAATTCGTAGAGGTGGCGTCCCGGCAGGTTGGGATTCGATTTATAAAAGTAAAAGTCGATTGCCGATTGACACTGTTCATCTGATTACCATCAAAACTTGGGGTGTTGATTAGAACACTCCTGGGGAGGTTTAGCAAAAACAATCTTTTTTTTTGAAATTTCGTAATGGGGTCGCCCCGGGAGGGTGCGGTATGTAAAAAAAAATAAAAGTCGGATGAGGTTCGACACCGTTCTTCCAAGTGCCATGAAACTTAGGAGAGTAGATGATAATACTCCCGAGAAGATTTCTGAAAAAAAAAACATGTCTAATGAGCAGCACCCTGGAGGGTTAGATTTTCGTCAATACACTGTTTGGCGCTCAGAGTTTTAGAGCGGCTATGTTATCACTTGGCATCCGCGATAAGCTTAGGATACAATGAGTTGCTATAGTCGCTCACAAAATCGAATCAGGCGCGTCCTCCGGCATCTCTGTAGGGTGCGATTTGGCACCCAGGGCTTTCCCGCGAGTACTAATCACCTACGTTAGTTTTAAGGAGCACCCTACAATATTGATAATGCAGCACACAACATTTGATGATTAAAACCGTGCTTGGGGCCGTACGGGTTCACGAGAGCGCCACTTCCCGTCCCGACACTTAGGCGGTGAGTGATTAGCGGTGATAATATGGTGAGTGACAAACTTACACTCATGGCTTTTATATAGCACGCCCCATGTCGGTAGTGTAGGTAAACCCGTGCCCCGATAATAATTTTACAAGTTTCAAGAATAAATTAAAATAATTATTAATATTTGTGCATGGGGCTAAAGAGCCGCACCTTGACATCAAAGGAGCCGCAGGTTGCCGACCCTTGTTCTAGGACTATCTCAATCCACTTTAGAAGCTGTTAATTTTTATTTATTTTTTTCTTTACGGATATCACCGGCTCAGGAGGTGTCTCCCATTAGCCAGCCAGGCCTCAACTCGGCAAACAGCGACTAACTGGCTTGAATATCGGTTTGAATAACTTGCATCATACGCTTCCCTCCCTTGGTTCTCACCAGGCTTATCTTCTATCCCACTGAACGCAGTGTAAAGTCGTACCCCACCGTCCAGTAAAAATGAAATTATATAACTATTAGTATTTGTGCAAGGAGCTGGAGAGCCGTATCTTGACGTTAAAAGAGCCGCATGTAGCTTGCAAGCCGCAGGTTGCTGACCCCTGTCCTAACCACATCAACCCGCAAGCACCACTTGTACATCACTTTATTATCCAAACGGCTGCATCTATGTTTTTTTATGCATATATATAGCAACCAAAACAGTAACTCATAAACCTCTCTAAAATTTAATTTTACATATCAAACAGTTTAACATTTTTAAAAATGGCGCAACGCTGTAACTGTCTGTCGAGATTTCTCTTCTCCCCATCCCCGTGGTGTAATGTAAACCGCCGACGTACAGCTTGTATTAAACCACATACACTTAATTTAACTTTAGCCATTCCGTAGATGATAATAATTTAATTATTTAGCTTGAGATTAATTTATTTTTAAATTACCTCCCTTGTCAAAATTAGAAAAAAGAGTAAAATTAATTTGATTTTTCTACCCTACTGTTATTATGTTATTAAAATGTATCTACTTTTTCTGAGAATCTATTTGATAATTTTAATATGTTTTAGCAATGTGCGTGTATTTAATATTTGCCTTACGTTATGCGAAAGAGTAAAAACAGTGGCAACTATAAAATAAATTTAAGTCGTTATATAAACAAACCCTACTCTATTACTTATAATAAGACACTGCGATGCACTGGAAAGCACTGCATGGTGCGATATTTACCTTTATGGTTCCAAAATCTATAGTGATGACGGAAGGAAGGACTGACATACTACCAGCCCGCTTATATTATAGATATTCCAGAAAGTTTAGGGGAGATCACTCCCGGTTTATTTAAATTTTTAAACCTGTTTATTTTTTAAGAGCCTGATACATTTTGAGTAATATTTTTTAAATTTGGAAATTCTCAGTGGGCCTACATCATAAAACATAAAAGCATAGAACATCTCCACACAATCTCGATGTCAATAGCAGTTTCTATGCTATTCTAAGATACAACTATTTCACAGCATGGTGAAATCAGTACTCTATGGTTAAGTGACATGGAGAGTATCAAACTAGTAGCAACGAACATCAGACTACTGTAAACTTACGTCATAAATTGAACATCAGTTGTCCCAAGAAAAACAGGGCAAAACCATTTCGTCAAAGAATTATTAAAGGGTATCTGGGGATGGATTGGACAGGACGCATGTTGCGTTTACAAGCATTTCTGTTTCCTAGCTGAAGTAGTCCTTTGAATAAAATCCCTTTTTTGTTTTTTTCCTAAATTGTTTTGAAAAAATTTGGCTGCCACCATAAACCGGGGCTTGTCTGTGGTAGTGTTGATTAGGCATTTCTGTTTAGGGTCAGAAATCATATGCTCAACTATATGACCATGCAGTCCCATTTGGTGGCATTAAATCTTATCGTAACAAACTGTATGAGCTCTTTGGTTGTGTTAACTATTTTCTTTAACGTAAATGTTTTGCTGCACCTTAGAATACGACTGATAGATTAAGGTTCGTAACTAAAAACGTTTTTATTATATTCTTTTTTTTTAACTTAATATTACAGATAAACCCTTTCTATCTAGTGGGGGGAATAAATCACATTTTTTTTCCGCTAGCAAGTAAAAGTGTACCAAATATATACATTAATGCTCTACTTTATTATTTTCTCTTTAAAACTCAAATTGAAGAAACCACTATTTTTTGTTGTTTAAATTTTTTTTAGGTCAGAAGACAAGCACTGTTTCCTGGTGATTCTGAAATTGACCAGCTTTTTAGAATATTTAGAACTCTGGGTACTTCTTTAATTTTATGTTTTTCATTATGTAACAACACTAAATTTGGCCTTAATTTTTAACTACTTAATTTGTAACAAAATATTTAATTTGCTGTAGTGCAATTTGATTTACTAGATATATGATGTAATATATAGATATACATGTTTTATATATATATATATATATATATATATATATATATATATATATATATATATATTTATTAATTTATTGGTAACAATAAAAGAACTATTCTTTTAGAAATTACTAATTTATTCTAGGCACTCCTGATGAATCTAATTGGCCAGGTGTGACTAGTTTGCCTGATTACAAATCATCATTTCCAAAATGGCCTGTAAAAGAAGTAGGACTACTCGTACCAGGATTGTGTTCTGATGGAATAGATCTTTTACACGTGATTATAATTTATATTTCTAATATTTAACTTTCTTAATATATGCCTAACGTCCCACCAATAGCAGAATAGCTCTGCTATAATGCAAAAGTCATGTCTCATTCAGGTTTTGTCATAATTTGATCAGGGAAAAAATAATTAAACTATACTTTTTTCTTTAATAGAAATAATACATTGAATCTTTAAAAAAAAAGATCTAGGAAAAGTAACTTTTTTCCCAAAGCATTCATTTTCATTTCATTGTTTATTTACTACACATTGAATAGATAATTTTAAAAAAAAATTAGCTGCCAAGATAGTGGGAGCTTTAAAAGTGAGCACATAATTTTATAAATATTCTGTGAAATTTTCATTTATGAAATAAGGAAGTAATCTTTATAAATAGAAAAAATAAATAGAAAGAATATAAGGCATAGTTGAAAACAAGAATACAACTAGATCATTACAGTTTAAATTAGCGTAATGTAGGTATGTCAAAACCCTTTCAGGACCACAAGGATTGCACGCATAATTTCGAATATCTGTGCACACATTTAGTAGTAAAATGCGTAGATTTAAAAAATGTTAATGGTTTTCCGATATCTTAAATAGTTTTTGAGATACAGCATGAGACATATGTGTCCCTATGGGCATCAAGGGAAAATTATCGAAAATAGGTTGCATTGTGTGTTATGTCAATATGTTTATTCTTAAAGTGATCAAACGTTTGTTGTTTTGGTACATTAGAAATTGTGAGTGTCATCTATGAATGGAGTTTTTGGAAGCAGTTACGTGATGTTATGTAACATATGCAAACATGGCAGATATATTACACATATTGTCCGCTCTGTTCTCAATCTTTTCTGTTACACATTGTGCATAACTCCTGCGTTTCTCTTCCTTTGAATTATCAACTTCTGGGGGGTTTGAAGTGAAATTCTTGCCTCTACGACCAGCTCTTGAGGTGATATTTCTTTGATGTAATCCCTAAATGTGAGCTCTTGCTTTCATTTGCCTATATTCAAGCTTGGTTTTGCATTGTAGCCAGCGTTGAATTCTTGTCACATGTAGGTATAAATGGCTTTTAGACTTACAATCTTTATTTTCTCATCACATTATCAATGTATGAAACATGGAGATCAGGTTCAGTGGATCAGTAGTCTTCAAAGTTTAGAAGTAAACGGTATTCCACCTCAAGTTTCATTCTCAAAAATGTACAGCTGTCTTGCGAATGAGTTTGAAAAAGAATCCCTTACTGTGGCATGTAGCCTACAGTTTACTATGATCAATAATTATAGTTACTAAGCACTCAAAATAACAAGGATTTATTTTGCCTAAAAACATTGGGATCTTCATTTCAATCAACATCTATTGTCAATTTTCGAATAGTCCAATTTTTTTTTTAACTTCCTAGTTGTACATTCTCTACTTCTCACATTTTATCAGACACTAGCGGATATTACTTTAATAGCATATTATTAATTAGTTTGATACATCTTATTCATAAAACAAGGAAGGTAAGACTATTTTTTTATATTATTAGTACATGAATTAATTGAACATTTATAATCAATTAATAAATGACGTCATTTAGGAGTGAGGATCTGGCCTTTTTTTAGTCTAAAAAAAAAAGCACGACGTCATTTATGGATCTCTTAAATTAGGAGGTTTTCCTAATTGTGATGTACGTGTGAACCTCGCGTGTATGTTTTTTATGTATTACTAAACCCTTCATGCTATCGCAATGAAAATTTGGGAAGTTTTTGAGTGACGGTTTCCTGCTAAAATTTAAAAAAAGGGGTCCGCTTATTGGGTGTCCTGTCATCAGTCTCGCTGCATTAGGGGCCTCTGCAGGGGCCATGATCCAAGAGCTCAGCGATGCCCCTGACACCATGGCCGGCGCTGAGGGGTGTTTCTTTCACCATCAGCATATTGGCATAAACCGGGGCTTGTCTGTGGTAGTGTTGACAAACTAGCACCCCAACAACTAAGGTCCAAGAAATAAAGTGCCACCATTGTTCCATTTAATTACCACTGTTCTAGAAAACAAGTAAAAGTCTAAAATAAGTACACGATTGGTAACGTGTTAGTGAAAACCTCTTTTTTTAAAAAAACTCAGTTTGGTATGTAGGACTAGATTCAGAGTGTCAGTGCTTCTCACTTAGATACATTTATGTGACCAGCTCAGAGAAAAACAAAAAAATAGCATGTATCCACCAGCACTCTATTATTTAAAAAATCACGTTGACCACAATAAGGTGGCTAATGTTTACAGATTTTTACAAGCTATACATATGTTAATATTATAGTTGTGAGACCAACTGTCAAGAAACTATTACTAAGGGTAAAAAAGCAAGACTAGCAAAAAAAAAGTATCCTAGTTATCTATATAGCCTACGTAACTTTTCATAAATAAGCTAGTGTATTTCGTTGTAGTACTTCCATATTTGTTGAATCAGTTATGTATAAATACATATTTATTACATATAGGTACACACCAAGGTATTCCAAATAATTCTTTTACTTTTAAATACACTACTGGTACTAGAGACTAATAATTTTTTAGAAGAAAAAACCATTGTCTCCATGTGACCCTTATACTGTTCCAATCACTATTGGAACAGTATAAGTAATGTGACACAAAGACTGTTACTATTAACCTGTTCAAAGCTATGGTCATTTTGTATTTGATATAGATCTACTGTATATATCACATTTTATTCTTTGTACTTTTGTGTGTATTTTTGATAGGTTGTGAACCTGGCCCCATCAACTAGGATTCAATTAATGTAGTGTCATTTTATACATTTAAACTAAACTAGACTACCCATTATCCTTGGATAAATGGAGGTTTCTGGTGTCATTCATAATTAATGTCACGATTGTTATTTTCCCCTCTCCACTGTCTCACATCATCACAAAAAGCCAGAACCCACATTTAAAAAGACGTCGCACCTCAGAAATGTTTTTGTTGTCTTCTAAAAACACCGATTTCGGTTTAACATGGGTCTGACCACACTATTAGGTTGTCGCTTGACCTACTATTTTTACCCTCATCATGGTAATAATGGCTGCCTGAACCGACGATAATGTGATTCTGGTTTTTAAACGTTTCATGGTCTTTCAGAAAAATTTACTTAAAATCGTTATTTTTGCGTATTATTCAACGATACCGGTCTAGTTTTAACAATGGACGTTTAGTGTTTGATGCTAACTTGCCATTTATACATTTTTTTGTCTAATGGCAGAGAATATCAAGCAGAACATAGCAAAACTGAATTGCTGTGTTTGATATTGTTCTAAACTTACTGAAAATATATTCTAAACTATAGAAAATTATAACTTGCTTTCTACTAGACTAATGTCATTAATGTTTTAAATATAATACAGGGTAAAAACAAAACCTATAAAACATAATTTGATTGAGACAACAGCAAACTAAGCCCGCCCATTATGCCCACCGTGTATTTGAATGGGGAGAAATCTAGCAGAGAATAAATTTCTGCTGAACCGCAGTGAACAATCAACCGCACCACAAAAACACTCCTTAAAAAACTAACCCACCCTTTCACTGAAAATCAGTCTTATAATCATAGCCATTTAAAAACAAAGGCGTTTTTTCACAAATCATTTTCTAGGCTACCGATTAAATCGGATAAATAAAATTGGTATAAAATTAAAGGATAATGAAGTTTAAAATCTTAGGCGACACCCTGCCCACTATCCCTTCATATATTTAGGTAACAGAAACAGGTGAAATACTTCACCTGCCCCGTGCCCTGCCAAGTTCCGAAAGACAAATTTATCATTCACATCTAAAAAGAAGTCACACCTCAGCTTACATGTTTTTGTCTTTTAAAAGCATTGATTTCTTTTTATAATATTTCTGAGCTCAAATCTTATATGAATAATCAATGAATAAATTATTAAAGCTAACGTCAAACTAATAATAATGAATAAGAGCCAATTGCATGTGTTGTTATTTCCCACTGAAATATCTGAAGAGAAAATTTAAAACATAAAATGGAAATAAGTCACAGGAAAAAACTAACAGGAAAAGAATCAGTTTTTGCTTGTTATAAAACAGTCACAAAGGACAAATTTTATCTGAAAAAAAGTCATAGAAAAAATGCACAAGTCTTCTAAGAAATATTTTGATTTAATTGTAAAATTTTGAGTATTTATTAATGTGGGTGGGTTTTTTTTAATAGGATATTTTTAAAAAACTTTAAAAGAATTATGGTTTATAAGAATAATAAGTAAAAATACTATAAGTTTCACAGCAACCTCAACTTTTGTGACATATTTATTAAATATGCGTAGAAAAATTACATCTTTGTGTTTTGCATGTGTTTTTGGCTGTAGGCTTTTGCTTGGTTTGCTTCTCCTCAGTTTGCCTTGTATGTCCATATTGTTTGTTGTTGACGTTTTAGTCAATGACAGCCTATGTAACGTTTCGGCTTCCTGTTTTGATCCTATGCCTGTTATGTAAAGAGTTTGAAAAATGTGGACAGTACCGGTGGTTGAACTATTGATGTGATGAGTGGAGGACAGCAAGTCACATTAACGACTTTATGCAATTTCACACTAATTTAAGGGGACATGCCCTGTTTTTGTTTCTTCTATTTTTTACAATTCAAGTCTAAAGCCTTTTGAATACTTTTACAATTTTGGTTGTCATGGAAACCCGGAAAAAACTCTGCCATATGGACTTTTTAGGTACTTTTAAAAATGCTATGGCTTTTTTTTTTATGCACTTACAGCAATCAAATTTAAACTGCTTATATTTCAGTATATTACATTAAAACTTTTGTCATGACAACTTTTTGAAATAGCTAATTAGTAAGAATTTTACAAGATCTAAAAAATCGTACACTTTATAGTATTCAAAATTTGCAAATTATTTACCATATACTTTTTTTCTATGAAAGCCATCACTGTAGAGTCCTTGCATATGATCTCACGGATCATTCAGTATGTTAACATCCGCTATCGCGGTGTACAAGTCCACATTCAAAATGGCGATCTGTGCTGTGAAAGATTGTGATACTCTAAGTGGCACATCTAAAGGGATTCCTTTATTTCGACTTATTGCGAACTGAGAAAAACAGCCAAAAGTAACAAAAAGTGGGTCATGTATATGTGTAAAAAGCAAAGCCGATAGTAAGCTTTGGGTGTTTCCGAGATGCTGGAAATTAAGATTATCAAATACATGAGAAATTTAACTTTCCAATGATCGCAAATACAATATGTAAGATTGGGAAAAATCGATTATTTTTTAATTAATAGTCATAAAAGTGGCATTTTAAACGCATTAAAAAATTTTTTCTCATTAAAGCTATTTTCTTAAGGGCAGGTTAAACCCCCAAATTGAAATTGAGGTGTTAGGACTTTTTTGAGTGATAAGGAAGTTGTAACTAGCATAGTATATGAAAACAAGTTAATAAAAAGTCTAGTGACAATTTAAGCGCAATTTCCTTAATTAATTTTTTAGAATTCACAGACCTACGTAAAAATCCTTTCGACCCTCCGCTCATTCGCTATGGTAAAATCCTTTCCAACCTCAGCGCTTTGCTCAGTTTAAATTAAAACTAGGCCTACAAGGTGCTCAGTTTAAAATATATTTTAAAAAATTTTTTGTGACCAAACGAAAGGATATTTTTGTAAACTTTCTTCGGCAATATTGGTTTAAATTATGGCAGGAATCGATTGGTAAATGTTTCAAGTCGCTAAGTGGTCTGGTTGCCGAGATATAGAGCAAAAACTGCATTTGTTCAAGGTTTTTTGTTGCTTTTCCGGGAAATCCAGGAAGGAATTCCGGGAATTTTTTTGGCCCACAATCATCCTTGGAACTTGCTTAACATATTTGCTTTTGGAACTAGTCCTCGATATTGCTTCGTTGAGGAGGAGATACCATTTAAAGCTGCGGACACACATCCATCCATCCATACATCCATTCATACATCCAGAAATGACGAGTTAATCGCAATTGTCCGTACAGAAATTGCGCTAAAAATGCAAAAAAAAAAAATCACTAAAAAGTTATGGTTTTGTGAAAATATTTTCTAAAAAGTCTCATTTTTAGGGTAAAATAGCTCAAAATTAGCTCTCATTGAAATCACAATAACACAGCTTCTGTTTGTCAGAATAACACAAATCTTTAATATAGTGTAATATACGCAATTACAAAAAAGATGAACTAAAACAATTAGAAAATAATAAAAAATGGATTTTAGCCAAATTTTTTAAATGTGAGAAATTTTTTCCAAAAAGTAGGGAGTAGACTTAGCTTTTTTTTTTATAAAATGAGAAGTTTCAAAGATATAGAAATTCTTTTAATTCAACTTTACAAGCAGTGTTTAGTAAACATGTGTGCAAAATTTCAGCTAAATATCTAAAGTAGTTTTTGTTATAGTGATTTAACTGGTACTATTTTGTTGAAAAGTAACATTTTGAGAAAAACGCTAAATAGTGAAAAATATACTAAATTTGAAAAAAAAACGAGAAAAAGCGAAAACTATACCAAATAAGTCATTTTTAAAACCTCCCTGTTACATACATTGCATTTGGAGTGGAGCCTCTTACTCAGCAATAAGAACATCTATTTTAGTTAGTTTTTAATTTTTATGTTGCTAAATGTTGCTTAATATAGGTGAATTACGTCATTAGTCTCATTAATTAAAAAAATATAAAAAACTAGCGTACCCGACCCCCGCGCGTTGCCGCGGGGATAGAAGAAAGTTTGACGAAATATATTAGGATTTCACCAACGCTTTATCAATTATAATTATATGTTCTTAGACGCGTGACCTACTTTTCTAAAACCTTGAGTGTACATTAATTAATATGGTAGAACACACTTCGGTGAGCGCCTCTGTGTAAGAGCGTAGAGGGGCGCTCTCATGCCCCCCCCCCCCCCCCCCCCCACGATTTCACTACCGCATAGGCGCGGCATACTACCCCTGGCTCCTTAAAACTAACAGGCGTCATCGGCCAAATAGCATGACTGCTTGTCTTTACTTGGACTATTTTCTGTACCTTTGTCTACCCTTGGCGTTGAAATATCACTTTCTGTTAATATTGCTATTTCAGTTACAACGCCTGCTTCCACCCCCCTACATGTTAATAAAGGTGCAGATTTCGTCATTCGCTAAAGTGACACAAATGATCAGGATTTTTTCTTTAACACGTAAAAAAATTATTTGACATGTTTTAAGTATCAGTGTGACTGATGCAATATGCTAGCGTTACTAATGGTCTATTATTAGATGCTCGATCTCAATTTCTGACTGGATTGTCTAATAATATATGCTTATTGCATCATTCGCAAAGTGACGAAACTCTACAGTAGGCTCCTCATATTCAAAATGTTATTTTTTCATCTTTCGCAAGGTGATGAAACTGTACAGAAGGATTTCCTCGCGTTACAAAGTTATTTTTAGAAGCCTGTTGTAGTTTTACTGCTGAATATAGTAGTACTCCTTACTCGCAATGCAGGACGCTCGATTAACGGATGCCAAGTGCCAACATAGTCGCTCTAAAACTCTGGGCGTGTATTGACGAAAGTTGTACCCTATATGTCGCCGCCCATAAGAAACTTTCGTTTTCTTTTTCGCAGAAATATTCTAGGAAGTATTCCCATCTACTCCCTAAAGTTTCATGGTACTCGGATGAACCGCAACCGAGTTTTATTTTTTATAAACCGTGTATAGAGAAAAAAAAATCGCTCCCACTTTTTTTATTGTATATAGTTCTGAACTTTTATAATTAAATTAATGGGGTGTTTAAACAAATGAATATATCAATAAATTAATTATCTACTTTAAATAAATTTGGATGGGAAAATTTTTCTCTACATAAATTTTGTTTTTGTGAATAAAAGAAATTTATGTAAAATTAAAATTGTTGGCCTAAACTTGTATTTGATATACATTTTACAGCACTGGTTTTTTTCTTTCATCTCACAGAAAATGCTCACCTATGAACCAAGCAAAAGAATATCAGCCAAATCAGCTCTTCATCACCCTTACTTTATTGGTGTTTGCAGACAGTCTCCAGGAGGGGACATTGTAAAATAAGAATTAAACATTTTGGTGTTGAATGGTAGAATAAAAGTTGTTTACAAGAGCTACAATAATGTCTCCTTATAACTGCTCTTCTCATTATTAATGGCGTGTGCCAGAGGCGTAGCGACCCGTCCCGGCGCCCGGGGACAAACTTTCGATTTGTACCCCCCCAACTTTCAATTTGGTGCCCCCGCTAAGGTCAAACGCCTGCACCCCCCCCCCCCCTCGCTACGCCTCTGGCGTGTGCTTTTATAATTGAAATGCAGCAGGCTTACTTATATATAGAGTTGTAACTTTTCCACTTTTTTATGGAGTATTTGGAAATAGAAGAAAATTGTCAACCAAAAAAGTTATCTTTTTCCACTTAACAAATTTTACAAAAAAGGTCTGAAAGATTCCCAGCTGATAAATTTTTCCCATTTCGAATATTGCCAAAAATAGTAAAGGCAAATTTATTTCAACACAAGTTAATTTACCAGAGACATTGGTGGAATCAATTATAATACTTTGTATTTCACACTTATCTCACATAAACCCAAACCACCCATCACCATCTTCCAATATTTCTTGTTCATAATCATATTGTCTCAATTTTGCTAATGATTTTATTTAAATATCTAAATTTATCAGTTATGTATCCTCTTAGGTTTGGAAGGCTATGATGAGCACTTTTAATGGTGAAAGGGTTGAACAAAATCTAGACCTACCACTATAATTTTTTCACCTTAGTTTACCAGGACCCAATTGTTTCAAAGATTACAGAATGTTCTTGAATTGTTTTTAAAAATCTTTAAACACCATAACTTGTTCGACAAAATTTACTAACATCTCTGAATATAATATTTTATTTTAGATAACCCAGTACTCATCAACTTAGTGTGGTTCTTATGCACTCAGAGAAATATCTAGTTTAGATTATTGTTACTGTTCTCTCTGGACTGCATTACTTTTTGTATGAAATGTTTTTTCTTATTTTTTTGGTGCACTCTGAGAATTATTAGTAATTAATTAGAATGGGTATATTATTCTGCCGAGGATACATTATGCAATAATTATCAGTCTAATGTGGAATGACCTTCTAAAAATGTCTATCTCTGTAGCCATTCATGCAAGGTAAAAAAAAAGATCACAATCTTTTTGGTTTCAAACAATCCTTAACCGATTTGTTAGAATTTTTTAATTAAGCCTTGGACAATTTCACTCCAACAAAATTATATTTATGTCAAATATTAATAATAAGGGACAAAATGAAAAACCATTGAGTTCAATTTAAAATAAGAGAATTAACAAACATTTTAGTTTTTTTTATATGTGAATAAAGAAGTAAACTTTACTAAGTAATATATTGTTAGTTTTGTCTTTTAGTATTTTAATTTTAAAATAGATTTTGTGTATTAGATGTTAATAGAGCCGGTGTTAAGAATACGCGGGGCTTAGGGCCTACTATCCGCCAGGGCCTGCTTTTTTTATTTTTTATAGCCTATATTATATGTATATAATATACATGTATACATAATGGGCCTAATACATCCATGTTTTAGAGTTTATAAGCTTGCAAAACTTCTCACTTAAATAAGAGATGTTCACCTCTCCCACGAATTACCCATTGTTCTTTGTTGTTGTTTTTTTCTAAGATATTAAATCACTTTTGACAGTTATGTAATAGATACCAAATCACTAAAGCAAATTTAATCACATGCCAAACAATTAGGGAAAAAAAGTTGTTTTAATAGTGTGACAGCCAGATACACCTTATTTATGAGTTTCCCCGACGGCATGCTAAGCTTACGACGTGTGAAGAATCAAGACAGCTTTACAATAAAGTGAACTCTACCCGATGTAACAAAACAGTATAGACTTCAAATTTGTTCAGAATCCATACAATATTTTAAAACTAATATCTTTATGGTCATAAATTGTAAATGATATCCCTACAAAAAAAAATGTGCTTAATCACTCTACTAATGCCGTTTCTTTTTTTTTTTTAAGTTCACCAAAGTATCAGATAATAATTGAAAGACCGCGTTTATAAGGGGAATATCAATGACTGCCAAATCACTTCCCTTCACGAATGCCTCTTCCTCCATAAAATGTGGGCGACACGGACAATAGAATATGTTAGCCCTAAAACTTTCGATTTGCACCCCCCTCCCCTCAAACTTTCAATTTGTTTTTCCAACCCATCTTGGCACCCTCTTACGGACAGCGCCCTTGGCGACCGCCTAGTTCGCCTTATAGGTAGCGCCGGCCCTGGGTGGACGATTGTATATAACAATCTATATATATAATTCTTTTCTGGGAGCCGCTAGAAAACAAGCTGCAAACGCGCTCCCTACCTCCCCACCCCTACATAGTTTTAGTGAGCTGTGTTCACTCTAAAATCTAAATGTTTACAAGCAGAGCCAACGATTTTAAACGTAGGGGGGGGGGGGTTATGGTCCTTAACGAGATACTTATAGTGTTTTAAAGAAATTCAGTGGCAGCGTTGGTACTGTCGAATTCACAAATTTTGAATTACTGAAAATTAGAAAAAACAACTAAATAGCGGCGTATGTCATGCCGCGGGCCGGCTCGTATATATATAATTCTCTTCTGGGAGCCGTTAGAAAACAAGCTGCAAGCGCGCCTTTGCAGTCCCCTCTCTTCCTCTCTATCACTACCACCCCCACCCCCACATGATCTGGTGAGCGGTGTTCACTCTGTTTACATTTTACAATCACAGAGACGGGTTAGGTGACGGCTATTAGGGGCAGATAATTTAGTTTGAAACGATTTTAAACTTAGAGGAGGTAACTAAGAGGAGGCTGCTTTCACGTGGGGGGGGGGGGGGATAGTGTTTTTAAGCAAATATTTTCAATGGCAGCTTTGGTACTGTCGAATTCACAAATTATAAATTACTGAAAAGTAGAAAAAAAACAACTAAATAGCGGCGTATGATACGCAGCGGGTCGGCTCGTTTGGATTAATTCCGTAAATTAATAATTCTGTCTGGGAACGGAGGAATCCTTAAGATGATACAAAATAACACTTAACTTTCTTCACAAAAATAATAAAAAATAAATCGCTCTGTTGTATTTGGATGCCCCCCCCCCCCTCCCCACGAGACAAGTACATATTCATATGAAAACAACAAGAAAGTCAGGTCTATCATTTATCAGGTCACTGTCTATACAGGCATCCCGTCTGCTCACTAAAAAGACTACGTGTTTTCATAATTTTCCTACAACGTCAGGTCGGGAGTTAATTCCCGTCCAACCATCTCCAGCCAATGCAAGGCAACTGTACCCTGCACTCAGCGTGGTGTGACACTGTTTTTCTATCGAATTACGACCTGTTCCAGTTCATGTGGGTGATAACACTAACATCAAGCTCAGTTATAACGATCAACGTCAGCATTCGACCATTTAGTTTTTACCAATTTAATTCCGCAACAATTATTTAAGTTTACAAACTAATTCAGATAACAATGACGGCGCTGAAGCGCGGGGCGTAGGGCTACCGCCCCGTTTACCACCCCCAAACGCCGGCTCTGGATTCTGGATGTTAACAAAATTCACATTACAATTACACTTCGATTTATTTGCTTTGACCCAACAAAGATTACATATTGTTACCGTAACAACGAAAGCAGATCCAGCCCATTCAATTAAAAAAAAAAGGTATTGACATTATAATAGATTGGAAACACTGACGAGAAGCCGCGTTGATTGTTAACAAGCCTTTATTCACCATGATGGAAGAGAGAGAGGACGGAAGTGACGAGAGACAATTATTTATATACATGTAAGGGACATCACTCAAGATAACAGTATAAATATAAGACTAATACAAGAAGAGTGAGTTCCCTTGACTTCACAAGTCTCACTATATTACATCCCTTAACCCTTAGTAAACACAACACATCTCTCAATAGAACAATTTACCGTATCCTAAAATCACCAATATATTGCGACATGAACATTATGGTAGATTGCACCCTTACAAACAATGCACAATATGTTACAACATAATTAAAATACAAAACAATGATGTCAAAGTCCTTTTGACCTTTAAAATCATAGGTCTAACTTATTTGGGACTTTGATTGTCCTGTTTGACCTTCTCAGTGGCTTTTGATTTGGTGACTCAAGATTCTGACCATATGGATTCTCTATCTCATGAGGTCTAGGATTTAAATCATTAACTCCAGAATTTACATTTCCTGACTCCAGACAACTTGGTTCACTCATATCAACAGAACTTGGTTGTGGAACAAACTGAGTTGGTGTGAACTGTTCAGATTTGGTGGGATTGACAGATTCACACTTATTATCTGCACAAGTTATTTTTAACTGGTCTGCATGTCTACGGACAATAAGTCCATCATTTGTTTTTACTTTATAAGACACAGGTCCTGTACATTGAACAATTTGACCTGGTATCCATTTTTCCTTTCTCCCATAATTTCTTAGATACACATTATCATTAACACCAAATTCTCTTTCAATGGGTGTCTTGTCATGATTTAATGGAACTATTTTTGAATTGGCATCTGGAAGTATTATGCTGTTTTTCAGATCCTTAACTGACATAGATTTCTTTGATTAATCAATTTTCTCAGGTAATCTGATAGTGCTTTTTAGTAACCAAAAATACTGTTTAAAAGAAATATCCTGGACAATATCACTTTGCAACTGTGATCCAGTATTTGAAGTGGGTGTATTAAATGGCAAAAATCTTTTTTTTCTTTTGATGTTACCCTTTTAGTTTCTGTAAGTGCTAATGATGTTAGCAAAGTTGTTTGATGATCACATTCCTTCTTATTTAAAGCATTTGAAATTGCCATATCACCATAATCATTTATTAAGTTACAAATACTTTGTTTAGGCAACTCTGACTGATAATGGACTGCATCTTCTCCATCTTTTAGACTTAATTCCATTTTTCTTATTTTATATGGCCTTAAGTCATCATTCACAGACTCTTCAGGCCAACCATGCTTACAGTACTCATATACTTTTATTAAGCACTCATCTTTTTGTGTTTCTCTTTTAATATCATTCACATTTATATTGGAGTTATCCATGATAGTGAAGAGAACAAATACATCTTCTGGTACATAGCTAAGGCTTTGGTTTTTTAAAGGTAATCTACTAAGACTATCTGCACTATTCTCAGATCCAGGTTTGTATTTTAATTCATAATTGTATGCAGTTAGTGTGATAGCCCATCTTTGAATTCTTGGTGAGGCATGCTCAGGTAGGGTTTTGTTTTCTCCAAATAAACCTAGCAATGGTTTATGATCTGTAAAGATGGTGAACTTCCTTACCAAACAGAAACTTATGAAATTTCTTAACACCAAAAATGATGCCTAAGCCTTCCCTATCTAACTGAGAATAATTTTTCTCAGCTTGGTTCAAAGATCTACTGGCAAAAGCAATGGGTCTGTCACCCTTTTCATCTATGTGGGATAAGACTGCTCCTACACCATCTGGTGAAGCATCACATGTTAATATAAGTCTTTTCCCTGGGTCATAGTGAGTTAGTAAGGTGTCAGAAGACAAAGCTTCTTTTGCTGTATTAAAAGCAGCTTCTTGTTGTTTACCCCAGTGCCAAGTTGCATTTTTCTGCAGCAGCTTGTACAGTGGTGATAGTTTACCAGACAGATTCCCTATGAACTTTGCATAGTAATTTATCAAGCCCAAAAAAGCTCTTAGTTGTTGGGTATTTTCAGGTTTGGGTGCTTCTTTAATGGCTTTTGTTTTCTCAGGTTGAGGTCTGATACCTTGCTTGCTTAATATATAACCAAGAAAACTAATTTCTGTCAGCATGAATTGACATTTATCTTTGTTTATCTTTAAACCTTTTTCACCAACTATTTTCAAGACTTTATCAAGTGTTTTAAGATGTTCAGTGTCATTCTTACCAGTTATGTACACATTGTCAAAGTAAACACAAACATTTGGAATGTCCTTAAAAATACTGTCCATGACAGCCTGGAAAATTCCAGGGCTAGATGATATGCCAAAACATAGTCTTTCATATTGGTAGAGTCCTTTATGTGTGTTTATTGTCGTATAGACTTTTGAATCTGGATGCAGTTCTAGTTGAGTGTAAGCATGACTAAAGTCTAATTCAGTGAATTTGTCTCCTCCTGCCAAATTCAAAGAAATTTCCTCAATGTTAGGAATAGGGTACCTATTTAGCTCTATTTGCTTATTCAGTGTAGCTTTATAGTCTCCACAAATTCTTACAGAACCATCCTTCTTTAACACTGGCACAATGGGCGTTGCCCAATCGGAATAGTCTACCTTCTTTATAATGCCATTAGATTCCAATCTACTTAGCTCATTTTCAATTTTATTCCTCATTGCATAAGGTGGAATTCTAGCTTTGCAGTATCTTGGATTTGTGTCTTTAATGCTTATCTTCACTGTTCTATCATTTAGTAATCCAGAATTACCAAAAACACATTTATTTTCAGATATAACTTTATCTATTGAAGTAAGACTAGATTCTCTTACATTGTTCAATGAACATATACTCTCCCAATTTAACTTAAGATCAACTAACCAGTTCCTACCTAGTAATGGTGGTCCATTTCCTTCAACCACAAGAAGAGGAAGTTTAACACTTTGACCATTATAACTTACATGAACCATACACTCTCCTATTACCGGAACATTGTCACCAGTGTATGTTGTTAGACACTTGTGACATGGTTGTAGAGGCACTGATCCTCCTGTGACAGCGTCAAAGTCCTTCTTTGTGATGACTGTTAGAGATGCTCCAGTGTCAAGTTGGAAGCTGATGCTCTTACCGTTGATATTAACTAGTACATTGATGGGAGCATGACTTATTGATTTCACAGAGAA